CGCACCTGTGGCCTTCCAGGTTGTTCCCATGGGCTCTTGGAGATGTCCCTGTCACTCTGAGGCCGGGACTCTTGGAATTCAAAAGTCCTTTGGCCTCAACACTGCTGTGTGTGAGAGATGAGGGAACTTCCGTTCCCCGTGCTTCTATGCCATGTTGGATTCCCCTCACGGTAGCAACTTTTTATTTCACCAAAAACTAGACACTGAATTCTTATTCTAAGTTTAATACTTATTTAGGAAAATGACAACTTGTAGAGCTACCTAAATTTTATTGTACAAAATAGTACACTTACTGCTATGTACACCTTGATAATCTGTAAAATCACTTATGATCAGTCCATGTGAATTCTTCATAGTTTATATACAACTTGGGATAAGTACTATAGCACAGTGAAACGTGCTGTGGGAGCACCTCGGAGGGAGTAACTCAGGGCAAGCTAGGAAAGGCTTCTATAGAAAGGAAGGAACCTTTGAATTAGCTTTAGCATTTTTTTAAAACATTTATTTATTTTTGAGAGACAGAGATAGGGCATGAGTGAGGGAGGAGCAGAAGGAGATGGAGACTCAGAACCTGAAGCAGGCTCTAGGCTCGGAGCTGTCAGCATAAAGTCTGATGTGGGACTCGAACCCACAAACCATGAAATAATGACTTGAGCCAAAGTCAGATGTTTAATCGACTGAGCTACCTAGATGCCCCTAGCATTTTAAAAAAATGTTTATCTTTGAGAGAGAGAGAGAGAGAGAGAGAGCGCGATTTGGGGAGGGGCAGAGTGAGAGGGAGACCCAGAATCCAAAGCAGGCTCCAGACTTTGAGCTGTTGGCACAGAGCCCGTTGTGAGGCTCCAGCTGTGAGATGAGGACCTGGCTCAACCGTCTGAGCCACCCAGGGGGCTGCATCTTATTTGTGCTTTAAGGACTTTTATTGAGATACAATTTATATACGGAAATTTGCATATTTTTACATTTGTAGCTTGGTGTTTTAGTACATGTATATGCCTACCATTACTCCCACTAAATTTTTCATCACATCATTCCAGAAAGCTGCCTGAGCCCCTTTCAAGTCAACCTCTGCTTCTACCTAGTAACTACTGATTTCTGTCACTATAGATTAGTTTTGCGAACCTGGAACTTCATAGAAAAGAGTCATGAAGTAGGTACTCTTTTGAGTCTGGCTGCTTTTGTTCATACTAATTTTAAAAATTCATCCTTTTATTGAGTGTAATGTTGTTGTTGTTGTTGTTTTGTATTGCTAAGTAGAATTCCATTGCATGAATATACCAGAATTTGTATATCATCCTATTAATGGATATTTGTGTTGTTTCTAGACTTTAGCTATTATGAGTAAAGTTTCTGTGAACTAGCATGTAAAATTGTTGTGTAGATAATGTCTTTTTTTCTAAATGTAAAGTTCAGTTGATTAATATAAAGTGCAGATTGGTTTCAGGAGTAGAATTCAGTGATTTGTCACTTACATTGATTTGTCACTTACATATAACACCCAGTGCTTATCCTAACAAGTGCCCTTCTTAATGTTCATCACCTATTTTGCCTTTTCCCCATCTACCTTCCCTCCAGTAACTCTCAGTTTGTCCTTTGTCATTAAGTCTCATGTGGTTTGTTTATTTCCATCTCTTCTCTCCCCACCTCCCCTGCCTTCCCATAGGTTCATCTGTTTTGTTTCTTAAATTCCACATGAGTGAAATAATATGGTATTTGTCTTTCTATGATTGACTTATTTCACTTAGCATATTTTCTAACTCCATCCACATCATTGCAAATGGCAAGATTTCATTCTTCTTGATGGCTGAGTAATATTCCCCCCCCCCCCCCCCCTCTCTCTGTGTGTGTGTGTGTGTGTGTGTGTGTGTGTGTGTGTGTACACCACATCTTTATCCATTCATCAGTTGATGGACATTGGGCACTCTCTGTAGTTTGTCTATTGTTGATAATGCTGCTTTAAACACTGAGGTGCATGTAGCACTTTGAATCAGTATTTTTGTATCCATTGGGTGAATACCTAGTAGTTCAGTTGCTGGATAGTTGTATTTTTAGTTTCTGGAGAAACCTCCATACTGTTCTCTAGAGTGGCTCTATCAGTTTGCATTCCCACCAACAGTGCCACAGGATTCCCCTTTCTCTGCATTCTCACCAACACCTGTTGTTTCTTGTGTTGTTAATTTTAGCCATTCTGACAAGTGTGAGGTTGTGGTTTTGATTTGTATTTCCCTTAGTGATGTTGAGCATTTTTTCATGTGTCTGTTAGCCATCTGGATATCTTCTTTGGAAGAGTGTCTCTATTCATGCTATCTGCCCATTTCTTAACTGGGTTATTTGTGGATATGTTTTCATTTCCCTTGGATAAATAGCTAAAGGTAGAATTGCTGGTTCATAGAGTTAGATGTATATTTAACTTTATAAGAAACTGCCAGACTGTTTTCCAGAGTGATTATACTAGTGGTGTATGAGAGTTCCACTTGCTCCATTCTCACCAACACTTAGTATTATTAGTCTTGTATTTTTTTAATGTTTTATTTTATTTTTTATTTCATTTTATAGAGAGCACACAAATGGCGGAGAGGGACAGAGAGAGAGAGAGAGAGAGAGAGAGAGAGAGAGAGAGAGAGAATCTCAAGGAGGCTCCAAACCCTGCTCGTAGCCTGATCCCACGACTCTGGGATTGTGACCTGAGCCCAAATCAGGAGTCGGACACGCAACCAATTGAGTCACCCAGGAGCCCTAGTATTGTTAGTCTTAAATGTTAACCATTCTAGTGGGTGTTCGGTGGTATCTCACTGTGGTTTTAATTTGCATTTCCCTGATGATTGATGAAACTGAGCATTCTGTATCTAGTAAAGTCTTACATCCGTTACAAAAAAATAAAGTAAAATTTACTCACATTACGTTATATTTTTGGATCAGTATTGCTTGAGATAATAGCCCTCTCTGATGTGTTTGCCATGGAGAGCACTCCTGTTTTTGACAGCATCCCTGGGCATAGGCTTTTCCATTACTTGCTTCAAGTAAAGTCAGTTTCCTCTTGCAGGGCCAGTTAGCTGACAAGTTTTAGGGTCTGCCATGTCTGCTAAGGTGTGCCACACGCTCAGCAGGGTGGATGGGGTGTTCATAACTTCTGGCTGAAATATCACATTTCCTCCTGAGATGTAGTAGATTTTCCTGAATAAATGCTTCTCATTTACCCTTTGATCAGTTTTCAGAGACTCTAATTACTTTTGACTGTCTGTTTTTTGGTCTTTTCTCTTTTGGTTTTAGAGGAGAGGATTTGCTGAGTTCCTCACAGAGCCGTTTTGGGAGCTTTGGGCTCTCTGTATTCTTTTTTTTTTTTTTTTCTTCTTCTTGTTTGTCTCCAGTCTTTTTCTATACTACAGCCACTCTCCTCCCCCTTGGCTGCTCCACTCCTCCAAACCTCACAAAGCTAGTGATTTCACATCTATTCTTAAAAGTCTTCAAGTGTTTATATGTTGCTCTTAGAACAAAACCAAGAAATTTTTAAGATGGTCTAAAATTGTCTGACTCACTTTTTTATATAATTTTATCTTGCACAAATCTGATCATTCTCTTCCTCATTCTGGACAATATCCAGTCAGTATCCTCATTTTAGGGGACACTGCCTTCTCTATTCCTTACAAATCAAGCTGACCTTTGGCAAAAGCATTGACTTTGGAATCTGGGAGAGGTGGGTTTGAATTTCTGTTCCACATTAATTAGCTGTGTGACTTTAAGCAATATGCTATCTTTTCTGAGTTGTTTCATCTGAAATACAGTGATGGACAAATAATATTTCATAACACTGCTATAAGGTATAAATGAGATTATGTAAAACCATTAGCACAATGCCTTGTATCTAGGAAGTGTTCTGTCCTCTACCTGATACTCTCTTCCCATAATTCCCCTGAGGAAGCAGTTTATATGACATATCTACTTGTACAAGTGGAATCATTTTCGTATTACCATTCCAATACTTTTTTTGAGTAAAATTTATACCTGAATTTCAATTGTTTGAACATGTTTATTTGAGTACCTCATATCTAATTCAGAGTACTGTCTTTAACTTTTTAAAAATATGCCTTTAATTGAAATGTAACACATTAAGAATTTTACTTTTAACAAGGAAAGTTTTCTTTTCTCCTCTGGAAAGTGACTATTATTCATAGACTTCCATTTTTTTATTTTGAAAAAAATTTCAAACTTGTAGAATAGAAGCAAAAATGGTACAATAAACTCCTAACCACACAGTACAAAGATCATATTTAGGAAAGTAACATTAGTACATTTCTATTATATAATTTGATAGTCCCCTAGATTTTCCCAGTTTCCTAACAATGTTTTCATAGCATTTTCCTCAACTAATCAGCGCAACCATGCACTTTATGTAGTTACCATGTCTTATTATTCTCCTCTAATCTGGATTAGCTTCTCAGCCTTCCTTTGACTTTCATGACATTGATATTTTCAAAGGCCATTTGTTTTATAGAATGTTTCACAATTTTGTTTTCTCCACTTCTTCATAATTGTGTTCAGGTTATACATTTTTTGGCAGATACTATGTAAGAGAATCTGCATGAAAGATGGCATATCCTTTCCAGTGTATCATGTATGTGACACCAGTTTGTTCCCTCTCATTGATGATATAAACTTAGGTGATGTGTTTAAGGTAGTATTCACCAAGTTTATTTTCTCTAAAGTTACTGTTTTCCCCTTGTCATTAATAAGTAACCTGTGGGGAGATACACTGAGAGTGTGAATACCCTTTTTCTTAATAAACTTTGATCACATGGTTTTTGCATGCTTGACAGTACTTGCCTGATTCAGTCATTACTATGGTGGTGACAAAAAGGTAAATTATTAAAATTTTGATAATACCCAGGGGTTTTAATTTTAGTGTTCCTGAGGGAGCTTTCTTTATCTAATCGTGATAGTTATAAAATACTTGGGTATTACCCTGCTTATGCCATGGGTTTATATGTTTATATGGTTTTTAGGTTCATGTACTGGACAGACTGGGGAGAAGTACCAAAGATAGAACGTGCTGGAATGGATGGTTCAAATCGCTTCATTATAATAAACACTGAAATTTACTGGCCAAATGGACTGACTTTGGATTATGAAGAACAGAAGCTTTATTGGGCAGATGCAAAACTCAATTTCATCCACAAATCAAATCTGGATGGAACAAATCGGTAAGATTGTTAAGTTTATTTTTAAACTTTAAGTAAACATCATAGTGTTTTGATATCATAATCAAATTATAAAAGCCTAATTTTAATATGAATGGATTTATGTATTGTTGGCCAAGTGTCAAAGAGGAAGAAGCGTAGACTTTTAGTTTGCTCTTGACAAAAGGTAACTATGTTTCATCTATCTTGATAGGATTTAGAATGTATGGACTATATTTTTTCTTTTCTTTTCTTCTTTTTTTTAAACTCTGAGCTAATTTAGTTCTTCAGTGCTTCTCAATCAAGGATATTACTTCTACTCTCTCCCATAGTGTGGGGAATTTGGGTTAACAAGGGCTGAAAGTGCTGTTAGCATTTAATTTATGGGGGGGGGCAGAGATGCTAAATATCCTGCAGTGTTCTGGACACCCAGTACCACAGTCATCCTACTCAGAATTACCCATAGAGCCCCCAGGTGCTGCCCGTGGAAGCTCACCTGATACATCTTGAGACTAGCAGTGGGGCAGACAGCAAATATTTTAGGCTTTGTGGGTTATATGATCTCTTTTGCAACTGCCTGCCTATGCTGTTGTGGTGTGAAAGCAGCTGCAGATAATGTATAAGTTAAAAAAAAATTTTTTTTTTTTTTTTTTTTTTTTTTTTTTACAAAGGGGCATCTGGTTGGTTCAGTGGATTGAGCATCGAACTCTTGATTTTGGTTCAGGTCATAATCTCATAATCTTGATTTGGGTTGTGGGATCAAGCCCCTCGTTGGGCTCCATGTTGAGCATGAGCCTGCTTGAGACTCTTTCTCTCTCTCTCTCTCTCTCCTACTACCCCCTTCCCTAGTCATACTCTCTTGTAAAACACACACACACACACACGTAAGGGATGGGCTTGGCTGTATTTCAGTAAAACTTTATTTACAAAACATATGATAAATCAGTGGGCTGTAGTTTGCTGACCCCTAGACTAGGAGAAAATCTGAATGCGTGCGGCATACCAGTATTCAAAGAAGACAAAGTTATAAAACACAAGCATGGAATTTCTTTCTTTTTTTTTTCTTTTTAATGTTTTTATTCATTTCTGAGAGAGAGAGAGAGAGAGACAGCCAGAGCAGGGGAGGGTCAGAGAGAGAGGGAGACACAGACTCTGAAACAGGCTCCAGGCTCTGAGCTGGCAGTCAGCACAGAGCCCAACGTGGGGCTTGAACCCACAAACCGTGAGATCATGACCTGAGCTGTAGTCGGACGCTTAATGGACTGAGCCACCCAGGCGCCCCATAAGCATGGAATTTCTTGTCAGATCATGTTCAGAATTTTAAGGACACTTTCTATATATGTTCTTGTGTTTGAATGATTATTTTGTTTTCTAGTGGTCTCATTCTTAAGACCTCAAGAGAAACAGAGAACCCTTAGATAGTTGAAGGAATTTTTCCAAGTGTAAACATTTGTAAGTTATCTGAACCATGACTCAGGAAGCATTTAGAAGTATTGAAAATCATGAAAGATTTAAATAATTTGTTAAAATAAAGTTTTTGTAACTATGGAGTTGGAAGATTTTTTTGCTTTGTTTTGAAAAAGAATGAAATGACTTACAAGATGGTTTAATAACAATTAGAAATAAATCAAGGAAAGAAGAAGTATATGATGAATATAAAAACATAATTGCTTTATTTGAACTTCAAATTTGGCTTTGGGAGAGATGCTGAGAAGTAAATGTGGTCATACCATAGGTGTGTTTTTTTTGTCTTTTGTTTTTTTTTACTTTATCAGAATACTCACACAAAAACTAATTAAACTACATAGCAAACCCAGAAGCGTACCATAAAACTAACATCAGGCATCCAGAAGTAAAAGCAGCTAAGAGCAGACCACTAACAGCCACAAGACCTCCATAGTATTAGTTGTACAGGAGTAAGCAGAGAGAGTTGAATGGGGTATTTCATAGAACTTAAAAACAGGAGACCTCCAAAATAGCTTCAACTGTTTAGTAGACAGTTTGGTGGACTGGTGGACTATATTAAGAGCAGCAGCTGAAATGAGACGATGGCTGATACTCCAATGATATTCTAGTATCGGCCAAGTACAGTGTGTTCATGGTAAAGCCAGAAGAAGATAGAGCAGTCTGGCTCCAGAGAATTCTTGAAACAGAGCTGCTAGAGTTCTCTACCAGTACAGAGTACTGCACTGAGTGGAAACAAAATTGAATACAATATTAGCATCAAATGGAGCAGAATAGGGAAAAATTAGAGGATCAGAGGAGGAAGAAAAGGGAAAGTTCAGATAAGAATTAGCAGAGGAACTGCTGGGAGGTCTCAGAAAGGAAGCTGCCATATTGTTTAACATTACAGGAAAACAACAGACAAGTGAGTTCTGTAAATCTAGAAAAACTACCTTGATCACCATCTTCTAAAAATTCAGGAAAACTAATTTTCCATAAACATGAGAGACACAACAGTATCAAGGTAAAATCTCACCTAAAATTATTATAAAGAATATTTGACATTTATAACTATTTTAAGCTAATAACAGCTTTGAACGCATCTTAGCTTTATAGTTTTTACTCTCCCTCCCACATTTAGTGTTTCTGTCACAATTTGCATCTTTTTACCTTGTTTATCCATTAATACGTTATAGTTACTTTTACTACTTTTATTTTTTAACCTTCATACTAGATTTATAAGTGATTTACCCACCAGTGTTACAAAATTAAAGTATTCTGAATTTACCCGTATATTTACTTTTTACCAGTGAGATTTATACTTTTGTGTGTTCTTGTTAATAATTAACGCTCTTTTGTTTTAGCTTGGAGAAGTCCTCTTAACATTTCTTGTAAGGCTGATCTAGTGGTGGTAAACTCCTCCTGCTTTTCCTTTTCTAGAAAATTCTTTATTTCTCCTTCCATTCAGACAGCTTTGCCAGGTAGAGTATTCTTGGTTGACAGTTCCCCCTCTTTCTGGCACTTTGAATATATTTTGCCATCCTCTCCTGGCTTCCAAAGTTTCTCCTGAAAAATATGCTGATGGTCTTACGAGGATTCCCTTGTGTGAAGCAAGTTCTTTTTCTCCTTTTGTTTTTAAGAGACTCTTTTGTGTCTTTAAAGTTTGACAATTTAATTAAAATGTATCTTGGATTAGGATTTTTTGGATTCATCTTTTTTGAAACTTTCTGGGCTTCTTGTATCTGGGTGTCTATTTCTTTTCCCACATTAGGGCAGTTTTCAGGCGTTTTCTTTCAGTAAACTTCCTGACCCTTGGTTTTTGTCCTCTCCTTCTGGGACCCTTACCATGGGAGTAGTGGTCTACTTGCTGGTCTCCTAAAATTCCCTTAGCTATCTGGGACACCTGGGTGGCTTAGTCGGCTAAACATCTGACTCTTAATTTTGGCTCAGGTTGTGATCTCACAGTTTGTGGGATCGAACCCTGTGTTGGGCTCTGCACTGACAGCGCAGAGCCTGCTTGGGAGTCTTTCCCTCTCTCTCTTCCCCTCCCCTGCTTGTGCTCTCTCTCTGTCTCCAAAAATAAAAAAAGTAAATTTAAAAAAGCCCCCTAAGCTGTTTTCACTTTTATTGTTTTTTCTTTCTGTTTCTTTGGATGACTTCTACTGCCCTGTCTTTGAATTTACTTTCTTCTACTTGATCTAGTCTGATGTTGAACTCCTCTCTTGAATTTTTCAGTTCAGATATTGTATTCTTCAGCTCTATAATTTTTGTTGGTGCTTTCCTGTATTTTCTCTCTCTGTTAAAATTCTCACTTTTTTCATGCATTGTTCTGCTCACCTAGGTGAACATCTTTAAGACTGTTATTTTGAACTCTTTATCAAATAAATCGTGTATCTTTGTTTCATTAAGCTCTGTTTCTGGAGTTTTGTCTTGCTCTTTTGTTTGGAACATATTCTTCTGTTTCTTCATATTTCTTGACTCTGTGTTAGTTTCTACACATTAGATCAAAAACAAACAAAACCCACACCTCCCTAGTTTTGATGGAATGGTGTTCTGTAGGACATGAACCTTATCAACCAGCCTGATGTGAGTTCTTGGTTGTCTCTCAAACGTGTGTTATTGCCCAAACTGCCTTCTTTTTTGTTTGTTTGTTTATTTATTTATTTTGAGAGAGAGAACACAAGCGGTGGGTGGAGAGACAGAGAAAAGGAGAGACAGAATCCCAAGCAGGCTGTGCACCATCAGTACAGAGCCTGATGCGGGGCTCGAATTCACAAACCGTGAGATTTTGACCTGAGCCAAGATTAAGAGTTGGACGTTTAACTGACTGAGCCACCCAGGCAGCCCCCCAAACTGCCTACTTTTTTCTTAGTGGCTCCCAGTAGTTGAGAGTGTGCTCAGATTTATCAGGTGTTCCAGAGGGAAGGATCATCATCAGCACATGCAGGCTGATTGGAAGCTGGATCCCCTGGGAAGTAACTGGGAAAGTATACAATTTAGGGACCTTACAGGGAGAGACTTGGAGATGGACATTTTTGCCTGCTCCTTTTGCATCGGGCCCAGGTATACAGCCTGGGTATACAGGTGTATATACCCATTAAGGACTCCTTCATTGGTATAGCCCTGTGCAACTTATAAATGTAAAACCCTGTTAGCTTTCAGAGACAGGTGATCCAGAGTCCCATCCCTTGGGTGGCATCTGTAAAAGCTGAGGCTTCAAATGTGTATGTAAGCTGATTGTGTGGAGATACTGGAGATTTGGATTGGGCTACAGAGAAAAGGTGGAGGTGGTGTCTGCAGACCTCCCTGGTCTCCTGGGATGATTGTTGTCAGCCCCTGGATATCTGCTAAATTAGAAGCCTTACATCAGGTTTCTTTCAGGGAAATAGACTTCCTACAGGGAAAGATTGGGATATGGGTGATTCTGATTATTTTGTCTGTGCTGAGCCCTGCTGGGATAGATGTCCTACATAAGCTTCTTGGTAACCAAAAGCAAAAATCTATTGTATATAGAGAAAAGATTAATAGGAATCTAAGCATACTGCTCTAGAAGATCAAATCACAAAGTAAGAGAGCAAGAG